GTCTGGTCTCACCCGGGTCAGAAGGCCTCCGATTATTAAACGGCCCGGGGCGTTTATTTTGGAGTCGGGCATGTCCCTCTACAGGAGGAATCTGCAAAGATAGTGAAAAAATAGCCTTGGGACGATTTTCCGGCTATTTTCGACCATGTCTGCGTATGTCTAGTTATTTTCAATTTTTCTTCCAAAGCCCGCCTGCAGGAGGACATGCCGGACATAACGTTGATTCAACAGTCCTGCTCAGTTCGATTCTTTTTTTGGGCGCGTGTGCCAAACGGCTTCGCGTGTCGGGGTGCTTCTTCTGAGGGTGGATTTTCTGCTCTCTGCCCCCCTCTCGTCTCGCCCGAGCACGTCAACAGCAGCAGCCTCCGCGAGGGCCTGGCGGCCTTCCGCCTCCGGGACGACGCCGCGGCGGCGCGGCACCTCCGCGCGTGCCTGGAGAGCGCCGACGAGCCCGTGGGCGCGCACGCCGCGTGCAAGACGGCGCTGGGCCAGATGCACCTGCTGGGCGCGGGCGTGTCGAAGAGCCTGTCCGAGGCTCGGGGGCCACGTGGGCGGGGGGCAGGCCCACGGGGGGGGTGGCATCCGCAGGTTCTATAGTTACATGGGTTCGAGGTCCGAGGTTTTGGGGCGTTCTCGTGTGTCCTGGTTGGCTTTCCATCCTCGGGGCGGTTTCCAACGGCTGCGCCTCGCTGAACGCCTTTTATGGGGGGGGGGGGGGCGGGCTCGTCCCGTGCGGCTGCCGGGGAAGAGAGTTCTGGCCCGAAAGCCAGGGGGGCAACGTTGGGGGGAAGGAAGTGTTCGGGAGGGCACGCATTGACCCCCCCCTCATCGGCACGCATCGACCCCCCCCTCATCGCCGACGGCGGCCCGATGGCGCAACCCCGCCCAGGAGCTTGCGGGTTCGCCATCGGGGCCCACTCAACAGGGGGAAAAGCGTTTGCTAAGCGGCCCTGGGCGTTCGCTAAGCAGCCCTGCCCTGTACGATTCCTTCTTTGGGTGCGTTTACTGCACGGCTTCGCGTGTCGGGGTGATCCTTATGAGGGTGGATTTGCTGCTCTCTACTGTGGCCGATCTATGATCGCTGAGCTCAGGTCGAGGTTTCCCTCCCGCCGCCGCCGCCGCCCGCCCCCCCCCCCCAAGCGCCCTCCCTCGGAGGCGCTGCTGCTCTTCCAGGAGGCGGCGGCCGAGGGCCACGCGGAGGCCCAGTTCAACCTGGGCCTGCTGCACTCCGCCGTGCACGCGGCTGCCGGAGGGCGCCAAGTCTACCCCTGCACCGATGCTGTCGGGCGGGTGGTATCGGGGAAGCGTGAGATTCGAGCAAGCCGGAATTCGGGGGGTCTGCCGACGTCTTCTGGCGAGCGCGTCCTGGCTTTTGACGGTTCAGTTTTCGTGGGATGCATGCTCGCGTCGAGTTTCAGATTGGGCCTCGTCGTTTTTATGATGGCCCCGTCTGGCCAACCCGAGTCCCCCGTACCCGAGTCTTACGTCTCCCCGTTGCTAACGGGGGGTTGACCCAAATTGGGGTTGACCCAAATGGGGGGTGAAGACAAGGGTCCCAAAGGAGCCCTGTAGTGCCCCTTTTGGAGCCAGCTGGTGCCCAAAAGGCGCCCTCACGGGCCCCCTGAGGGCCTTTCTCTTCACCGCCCATTGGGGTCCCCCCCCCATTGCCACCCGCCCGATGCCGGGCCAGGCCGATCCTGGGCCCAGGAGCGGCCAGGCCCAGCATCGGTGCAGGGGCGTGGCTGCCGCCCTCCAGCAGGGGGGAGACGACCTGTACCGGCAGGAGGCGCTCGCCGTCCTGCACCTGTACGCCGCGTCCACCGCGGGGCACCCGGGCGCGCTGATGGCGATGGGGTACCGGCACCAACACGGCTACGGGGTGCCTCAGGCGTGCACCACCGCGGCGCTCAACTACATCGAGCTGGCCGGGGAGGTCGCCGAGATCTACAGCGCCGGGATTCCTACGGCCGTGGAGCTCGTGCGGCTCAACGTCCACCCGTCCGAGCAGGGCAGAGTCATAGGCTCCGCCGAGCTGAGCCTCCTCGTTCAGATGGCGAATGGCGGGGACCTCAACGTCGCCCATGCGCTGGGAGAGCGCTGGCTCCTGGGCGCCGATGGGTTCAGCCAGGACTTCGAGAAGGCAAGGCACTACCTCACCCGCGCTGCCGAGGGCAACCACCCGGGCGCCAAGGGCCTCCTGGGCTACATGCTCTGCCTGGGGCTCGGGATGCCCGCGAACCTGACGGAAGCGCACAGGCATTTCGTCGCGGCGGCGCAGCGGGGGGACAAGTGGGGGTTCAACGGCCTCGGCTACCTCTCCTTCAGCGGCAGGGCGCGCGAGCAGAACTACAGCCACGCCTTCCGCATGTTCAACGAGTCCGCCACCAGGGGGAGCGCCGACGGCATGTTCAACCTGGGCAGCCTGTACCTGACGGGGACGGGCACGGACCAGAGCTTCCCCCGGGCCGTGAAGCTCTTCACGGAGGCCCTGGAGCGTGGCCACACCGCCGCCGCCTACGCGCTGGCGGTGATGTACCTGCAGGGCATCGGCATAGAGCGGAAGTGCGACGCCGCCGTCAGGCTCCTGAAGACGGTCTGCGAGCGGAGCAGGTGGGTCACCGACAAGTTGGCCGAGGCCAAGGAGATCGGAGAGAGGGAGGTCGACCGGGCCGCCCTGCTCTTCCTGAAGCTGGCCGAGGCGGGCCACGAGGTCGCCCAGACGAACGTGGCGCACATGCTCGACGCCGGCCAGTCTTCGCTGCTCTTCCAGGGCGAGGAGGCGCCAGAGGGCGGGGGGTCGACTGAGGCGGCGAGGCGGCACGGCAGGGTGCTGGCGCAGCGCTACTACGAGCTGTCCGCGGCGCAGGGCAGCGTGTCGTCCGAGCTGCGTCTCGGGGACTACGCGTACTACGGGTGGGGAGTCTCGGCCTTCCTCGCGGGCGAGGGCGACGAAGCGGACGACGGCGACGACGACGGCGGGCTGCTGCCCCCGGACCCCAGCGGCGAGGTGCGGATCGCGCCCCAGGCTGTGGACTACGAGGCCTCGCTGGCCAGGTACAGGAGGACGGCGGACATGCCAGTCACGCGCGCGTGGATGCAGACCTTCGCGGCCAGGGCCTCCTTCAACCTGGGCTTCATGCACCAGTTCGGCCTCGGCGTGCCGCAGGACCTGCTCACGGCCAGGATCGGAGGATCAAACAACGGCACAGGCAGAGGCTGTTGGAGGTCCGCGCTGGGATCTTGGAGGCGGCGCCTCCAGCGCCGCATGCAAGAACGCCGCGCGGATCCAGAGAAAGGATATTTATGCCATTCCCAGAGATCGGTGCCGCTTTTTTCCATGATTGCAGGGCCCCCAGAAGACCCGACCCCATTCCCGCGGCCGGTTTTTAATCCCGAGTTGGGTTCGACGGATCCGGGGCCCGGCGAGGCCCCCCCGAGGCCAAAACGAAAAACCTCCGTCCTGACAAAAATGCAGCACTGCCAAAACTCACGGCTGGATCCCTGGACCTAATCTTTCTCTTGCATTTTTCGAGCCGGATCGATCTGTGATGGTCCTGGGGCCTGACATTGGGCAAAACCGCGCGCTGCGCAACAAAAATGCAACGCCTGGATTTCAGGGTTGCACGTTTGGGATGTTTTGCTTTTCGAAGGATGCACTACCACCGCTCCCGCGACGCGGGCGACGGCGCCGCTGGCGCCCCGGTGGCGGTGATGCTGCTGCTGCTCGACGCCCACGCGCTGCTACTGCGCCTGCCAACGCCGCAGCGGCTCTTGGGGCGCCTGCTGCAGGACCTCTGTGCGCAACAAAGAACCATAACCACATCTGAGTGGATTTTTTTCCGCAGGGCCCCTCGGGGAAAGACCCACCGACCTCGGCATGAACATTTTGGTTGTGGTTGTGGTCGATCCGGCCGTCTTGGGACGCCACATCGACCACAACCAGCACTAATCTGGCTTCGGTGTTCTGACGATTGTTGGGATGAGCAGGACATCCCCCAGGGTGTGCCCTCGATGTGGTTTTGGTCGCTTGCTGTCCCCGCAGGACCTCCGGGTCCACGCCCTCGCCGTGCACCTGGCGGCTGTGGCCGTGCTCGTCTGGAGGGAGAAACATTTGCTGCACAGGCATCGGGATTTTCCTGGGGATCGAATCCAACGTATTGAAAAACAGCACGGAGTTTTTTTTGTTTTTTTTTCTCACTGTTTTCGGGCTTCAGGGGTCACCGTCGGGCCAAGGGACCTTCAGACAACGACCTCGGATGAAAAATAGGCCCTGGGGAAGGGGTCTGGGTTGCGCTGAACCCCCTTGCAGCGCCCCAGTGCCACCACTGGCGCGCGGGGCTCGCCGGGGATGGGGGTCGCCTATCCAAGAAATCCTGGCGGACGTCCGACACTGTAGCTCCCATTTGGAGGGCCCCTGCGTGCTGCAAGTTTTGCACCATTGGTTGAGGTTCAGCAAAGCCATGAGAATGCTGAGCAGTCGCTTGCTAAGGTCTACGCGTTCCTGAGGTCCGACGGCGCGAACGAAAATCAAACTCCTTGAGAAATCACGACCAGAGCCCAGAAACCCCATCTTTCTGCTACAGTCTTCGCGCTGGCGCAACGCCTGGCTTGAAAAACCCCATGGCCCCAGCCTTGTGCTAAAGTGATGATGATGATGATGATGGTGGTGGTGGTGATGATGATGATGATGATGATGGCTGATGGCTGATGATGATGCTGCTGATGATGATGCTGTTGAGGATGATGATGATGATGATGATGATGATGATGCTGATGATGATGCTGATGATGATGATGATGATGATGATGATGGTGATGATGATGATGATGGTGATGATGATGCTGATGCTGATGATGCTGATGATGATGCTGATGATGATGCTGATGATGATGATGATGATGATGATGATGATGATGATGATGATGATGATGATGATGATGATGATGATGATGATGATGTGGTGGTGATGATGATGATGGTGATGGTGATGATGATGTGAGGTGAGTGATGATGATGGTGATGAGGTGATGAGGTGATGTGGTGATGTGGTGATGATGGTGATGATGATGAGGATGATGAGGATGATGAGGATGATGAGGTGATGAGGATGATGATGATGAGGATGAGGATGGGTGAGGATGGTGATGGTGATGAGGATGATGATGAGATGAGGATGAGGATGAGATGAGGATAGGATGAGGATGATGATGATGATGGTGATGGTGATGTGATGGTGATGGTAATGATCATGATGATGATGATGATGATGATGATGATGATGATGATGATGATGATGATTGATGATGATGATGATGATGATTGATGATGATGATTGATGATGATGATGTTGATGATTGATGATGCTGATGCTGATGCTGATGCTGATGCTGCTGATGATGATGATGCTGGCTGATGCTGATGCTGATGCTGATGCTGATGATGATGATGATGATGATGATGATGATGATGATGATGATGATGATGATGATGATGATGATGATGATGATGATGATGGGAGGAGGGATGACGGGGAGGAGGAAGGTGAGGGAACGCGGGGCGCTGTCTCTTCAAAACGAGGTCCCAGGACCACAGGATGCTTGGGAAAAACGCCATGGCCCCAGACTTGTGCTACAGTGTTTCCCCCTCCGCCGTCGCCGCGCGCCGCCACTTCGCCGCCGCCCGGCGGGCGGTCCGGCGCGGGGCCTCCGGGCGGCCCGGCGGCCCGGCGCCCGCCGCGCGCCGGCCGGGCGAGACCCCGGGCGCAGTCGCGGGCCCCGTCGGGCGCCTGCACCTGTGACGGGGGGTGGGTGGAAGAAAAAAAGTTCGACCAAAAAACAAACGACACCACCCCACCTACGGCCCTCCACGTTGCGCTACGGCTCATCGGGGGCCGTAGCGTATGCCACGTAAGAGCTCACGCTTGATGTCTTGGTACGGGAGGACCTCGTCGCCACGGCCAGATTTCGCCTCGAACTTTTGGTCGGAACGCACCTCTGGAGAGGTCCGAGTGGTAGCGTTGGGCTCCCCTTTTTCTTTTGCAAGGCCCGTTCTCTCTAAAACCGCTCAGGCATGCCTGGGACGACCATGCCTAAAACTCGGAACGTACCTTCTGCTGCCAGACCTTCAGCTCATCCCATGCTCAGGCGCACGCCTGACGACGGCAGACGCCCGCCTCACGTACGTACGCAAGCCCAGTTGGGCCTCCGAGAGCCACACCGGGAGGAAGGGAGCCCAAAGGCAGCGGTTTTGGTACCTCTCCGTTCCCCAGACCGGGGTGGGGTCGGCAGAGGCCGTCGGTCGGAGGCCCGCCCGCGGAGGGCCGCGGCCGAAGCAAAGACACTCCTCCACCGTCCCCCTCCTCCTCCCCCTCCTCCTCCTCCTCCTCCTCCTCCTCCTCCTTCTCTTCCTCCTCCTCCTCCTCCTCCTCCCCCGTCCCCCTCCTCCTCCCCCCCGTCCCCCTCCTCACCCTCCTCCTCCTCCTCCTCCTCTCCCTCCTCCTCCTCCTCCTCCTACCCCGTCCCCCTCCTCCCCCTCCTCCTCCTCCTCCTCCTCCTACTCCTCGTCCACCTCCTTCATCCCTGCTCCTGATACATACTTCCTCCCTGTCGCACCCCGAGGCGTGCCGGTAGGGCGGTCCAGGCGTTTCGCTTGAGACTTCCTCACCGCGTGTGATCTTTGAGCTGAAAATTTGAAGCCGTTTCACGGACTGACAGAGGGCGGGTCGTTTTCGAAGTGTGGTTCTCGCCTTAGACCCGCGCACATACGCTTGAAAAAAGCTGCAAGCGTTTCACGGATCGAGGGCGGGTTGTTTTTAACATGCGCCTCTCGCTTTAGCGCCGCGCACGCAACAGTCTGACGGAGGGAGGGCAACACCTTACAACAGGTGACTCTCGCCTTAGCGCCGCGCACATTGTTTTAACAGTTTCCGGCAGTTTCAAGGAGCTTTGTTGTTGACGTGCCAGAATTTGTGTCTTGATGTGATGTATCATGGTCATGGCGCAACAGTGACGTAGATTCGCGGTGTTGAATTCCTAGGGATGGCGTTCTGACGCCATTCAGGACCGTCAGGACGCAACAGAAACGTTGATTCGCGGCAGTGAAGTCCCAAGACTGGTGTTCTGGCACGGTTCCGGATTTTCAGACGTTTGCCTTGCAATGGGGCCTTTCCTTTCGTGAAAACGAATCTTTACAGGGACCTATGAAGAGGGACCTTGGAGGGAGGGTTGATTGTAACATCTTTGATGGGTCTTGGGTTTGCACTGGTCTTTCTGCTGCTCTTCCTCCTCCTCTTCTCCCCTCCCCCCTCTCCCTCCTCTGGCTGCTGCTGCTTCTGCTGCTGCTGCTGCTGCTTCTGTCCTCCTCTCTCCTCCTCTTCCTCGACAGTGAGTGTTTTCTTATTATTTCCAGCAGCGGTTGTCACCAAAGGGTAAGGGGTTGGGGCCCTGCGTAGGGGTAGCGCTTGGGCGAGGTGGGGCACGTCGGTGCGGGCCAGGGGATAAGTCATCATCTCCTCCTCCTCCTCCTCCTCCTCGTCCCCCTCCTCCTCGTTTCCTCCTCCTCCTCCTCGTCCTCCTCCTCCTCCTCCTCCTTGTTTCTTTCCTCCTCCTCCTCCTCGTCCTCCTCCTCCTCCTCCTCCTCCTCCTCCTCACTCTTCCACCTCCTCCTCCTCCTCCTCCTCCTGGCTTCGGTCCGCCTGGAATGCCCTTCGGGTAATCCAGGCATGGACCGATGCCTGTCGGGGCTGCTTCGGGGTCCCCTCGTCGCCTGGCTCGGTCGCGAGCGGGTGGCGGCGATTCTAGACACGACATCTGGGGCCCTGGCGGCCGTCTGCTAGCAGATGGCCGCCAGGGCCTCTTTGATGATGGCCCATCCATCCCTCCTCCTCCTCCTCCTCCTCCTCCTCCTCCTCCTCCACCTCCTCCTCCTCCTCCTCCTCCTCCTCCTCCTCCTCCTCCTCCTCTGCCTCCTCCTCACTCCTTCTCTTTCCCCTCAGGAGCACCGACCCGCAGATTCAGCGGGGGGGGCAGGAGAAGGATGGCCGATAAGAAGGAGCAGCAGTCGCGGCAAGACTGGGGATGGATGGGGCATGAGGTGGGAGAGGAGTAGAGGCGGGAGGAAGAGCCGGGGGGGGCAGAACGGTGTGATGAGGGGCAGGGGCAGGGGCAACGTTGGGGGGGGGGGATAGTTAGGCTCAGGGGTGCGTGCATCGACCCCACATCGCCCATTCATCGCAGTCAGACTCCTGATAGCCCTCGCGATCGGGGGCCTATCGCCAATCCATCTGCGATTCGTCGCCGATTCCACGTCGATTTTTTCTCCCTGAGCTGGTCCTTCCCGGACGTTAACCCCCAGAGGAGGGGGAGGGGGGACGAAATGGATGAGATCGGGGCAAAACAGGCACAAGTATAGCAGAGGCGCGTGGTGTCTGCCCAACAGTGGCGGTGTCGCCTCCGACGCAGGCTGCGTTCGGGGAAACGTTTCTCGCGCCAGCCGGCTGGATAGAAGGTTTGTGACGGCCTGTTCGGCAAATCGTGTATGGTGGATCATCGGTTTTTCTTCTCCAGAGGTCCCCCTGGTCGCCTCAGTCAGACGCGGGTGTAAAACTGGGCGCGGATGGTGCCGAGGAGGGGAGGGGTGAGGAATTGGTTCTGAGCGGTTTGCCGATGGTAATGGAGGAGGGAAGAGATAATCAGCTGTGTTTAATCCAAAAAGGGTTGAGCGGAGCAGATGCCATAGGGAACAAGCTGCACAGTGATCGGCCCAAAGGGTGTTGAGCACATACCAGATGACAGGTGATGTGCAGCCGCATGGACTTCTATACATAAAGTTGGCCCAGTTTCACGGAGCGTCCGCACATTGTTTTGATACCGAGTTCGACTGCAGACCATACGTGGTTTTCTCAGGCTCGCTCTGGAGCTTCGACGCCCACGGGCTCTTCCGAGAGACAGCGATGGTTAGGGTAGGAACCCAGCACTCTTTCTCAGACGCAGCAGAACTGAGCCCGACACCGTGGACTGGGCTTCCTCTGCATGTTTTTTCGGTGCTGCTCAACCTTGGGGATTCCGTCAGGAAGTTCAGAATTTCCAGGGTCTGGGATTCTATCTCCTAGATTCCATCTCCCGGGCCCGGTTCGATTCCGTTGTTCTGACGCAGCCCAGTGTTCGCGTGGAGTTTTTGCGCATCCTGGTGCGGCTGATCAAATTCGATTTCGCCTTCGTGCCGATGCAACCCGACCTGACGCACATTTCGTCTCGATCTGATTTCTGTATTTGGTGCTGAGTGATCCTGGGCCCCCGTAGCTGCCGACCCCATCCCCTGGGGCTGACTTTTCGTGCCTGGGCCGCTGTCTGATGGCTCCCGGGGCCCTGGAAGCGCACTGTAGGAGGGCCCACGACCCAGAGGAACGTCTGCGTATTGTTTTGATAGTTCAGGGTCAGGGGCTTTCGCTTCGAGTTCGGGGCGACACGCTAAGCACCCCCCAGTCCCGAAGCGTCAAAGTTCGGGGCTTTTTCCAGCCTCCCGCCCCAAGAAGCAGGAGGGTGCTGGAGGATGCTGGTGGACGCTGGAGAAGGAGGAGGAGGAGGAGGAGGAGGAGGAGGAGGAGGAGGAGGAGGAGGAGGAGGAGGAGGAGGACCAGTGTAAACGCAAGAGTCATCAACGGTTCATTCCCACTGAGGGAACTGCCTCGTTGGAAGACACTTGTTTGAAGACCCCGAAGCATGCCAAAACATTGTTCTCGGGATTCCAACGCCACGGATCAACCTGACTGTTGCATCTTGACCATCTTGAAGCGTGCCAGAACACGGTTCCTGGGACTTCAACACAGGGAATCAACGTACCTGCTGCGCCCGCATAAATCTTGAATCCTTCTGAAACACCATTTCTGGTACGTTGATGATGGGAATCCGTGAACATCTTGAACATTTTGTCAACGAATGTGCGCGGTGTTAAGGCGAGAGCTACATTTTGAAAAGGAGCCGCCCTCAATCTGTGAAGCTCTTGCAAATTCGTTGAACGAATGTGCGCCGCGCTAAGGCGGCGAGAGCCGCATTTTGAGAACCGCCCGCCCTCAATCGGTGACGCTCTTGCATTTTTTAAGCGAATGTGCGCCGCGCCAAGGCGAGAGCCACATTTTTGAAACCGCCCGCCCTCCATCTGTTTAACTGTTGCCAACTTTTAAGCTCCAGAGTCACACGTGGTCTCGGTGGTCAGAAATGTCCGGCCCGCCCTAAAAACGGGCCTTGGGGTGCGACACGGAGATGAAAAGGAATGGAGGAGGAGGAGGAGGAGGAGGAGGAGGAGGAGGAGGAGGAGGAGGCGGAGGAGGCGGAGAGGAGGAGGAGGAGATGAGGAGGAGGGAAGGAGGAGGAGCAGGGAGGAGGAGGAGGAGGATGAGGAGGAGGAGGAGGACGAGAAGGGGAGGAGGAGGACGAGGAGGAGGGGGAGGAGGAGGATGAGGAGGAGGAATAATAAGACTAATAACAATACTAATAATAGTAATACTAGTACTAATATCAATAACAGTAATATTAATAATACTAAGCATAAAAAGAATATCAATCCGACGAATCACAACACTAATAATAAGCGTATTACTGTTATTAGTAATAACCCTAATACTAATACTAGTACTACTAATAACAACATGGATACTAATACGAATGATAGCAGTAATAATAATAATCTGATGATGATGATGATGATGATGATGA